AAATAAAGATATCTACAGCCCAGGTAAATAAAAACAAAATTGGTTTGCTTTGTCCATGTGAATAGAACAAAAAAAATTACCTATAAGAAAATTATACAATGCTTTAATAATACTAGTTATCCAACAATTTCTAGAAATAACCGTCTCCATTTATATTGATTATTCAACACCGTAAAAAAATCAAGCCAGAACGCTCTACTAGTACAAGTATATGTTTGCCATACATGAGTAGTTTTAGAATTACATTTGTTTTGTAACTCTCATTGCTCCAAGGCTGTTACTCTTAGCATTGAACAAGGTCCAAAGGTTAGTGGGCGTATTTTGTGTGCTCATAGGTTTGAAAAAATACTAGTCTGGACGTCAGGATAATATTGATTGATTTTTTCTTAAAGATGAAGTTGAGTTCTGGCCATGCGATTGCATTGTGAAAGAAATTGTGTGGAATCGATCAGGAAAAGGTTGACCATCTAGCATATAAGAATTTGTGTGTATTGCAAGGTTCTGGAATCATCAAAATGATAAGAAATTTGGCCAAGTCTTGGTAAAGTTACAAACACTGTACACAGACAGATGTATATGGGACTACACAAACACGTGGCGTAAAAATCCTACCCTGGAGTTTTACGATGTTACATGACATATTTAGAATATGAAGGCATTTGAAGAGCCATGCTTTTCAGGGAACATGTCTTATCTGATGTTCTTCCACACTTGCATAATAAGAATGATAACACTCACAAATTATATGTCACCTCTTCCCAGAACTCAACTTTCTCTTTAAATATAGAATTTTTGAACTTTCAGCAGTTTCCTATTTGCACCAGGGACCTGTTTCATAAAACTTGTTGTCAATAACAAATTTTGAAATTCAATGACAAATTCGGTCTTAGCCAATCAAATGCCACGATTTCAGTAGCTTATAACGGTTATCGTGACTTGTTATTGATAACAAGTTTTGTGAAACAGGGCCCTGGTTGAAGATGTCATGTTGCCCAGGAGGATCCCATTTAAAGGTAATACAAAGTTTTGGGAAATTTGAAAATTGGGTGGAAAGTGATTTTTTACAATTTTGATATATTTGGATGCCCCTGTGGATGTATTATAAGCACAAGAAAAATTAGCCCCTAAAACAGTTCTCTTTTCGAGAAAAATTGAATATAAAATTTTACCGGTGCTCCCGGTAAATGTTGATAAATTTCAATTAGCGCCTACGGCCGTACAATGGTAGCTGTGACCATGAAAATCTCAGAATATGTAGTTGTGATATATAATTTCCAAACGGGAATAGCTAATTGGTCGATTTTAGTCAAGAAACATTGTTTTATAGCTTAATTAATATCTTGACCTTGAGAGGGACCTATATAACATAAATAGTTTATTATTTACAATTTCATAACTTTAGACTCGATTTCAACCGCAACAACGATCCCTGAATATTGTAGGATCTCATATGCTTCTAACATGTTCATTTGAACCAAATTCATGACCCCATCCCAAAACTTTGTATTACCTTTAATACACAAATAAATTATTTGTAGGAAGTACAAAAAACAAAATTCTTGCCTGGCTGGAATAATTTAGGGCTGCTACAATTCAAGAAAACAATCTATGAACTTATGAAGACTGGATTAAAGACTATGTGTATGAGGTCAATCAGACCTTCCTTGACCTTGTAAATATGAAACACAGCATAATCGGACAATATTTACATGTACATTGTTCACAAGAAAAGCAATTATTTGAGGAGATTCAAAAATCTTTATAAAACAAACCTGCAATCCAATATACAGACCTATGTGTACCTGGTACAAGTTGTATACAATGCAGGTCATTCCATGGGGTTCGAGTCAATTTTTGTGACATTCAAGTGAGAAACTACAGTACATATGTCTCCTACACTGTATCAACCATAACAATGTTTGCTCAAATTGAATTTACCACTATCGGTATGTTTAGAATTACTCTTACTACATGGTGAATCAATATTATTGACCCAAGTTTATGTAATGTTATGTAAAATGTGATGTCCATATTTTTAACACTTGGAAGAAGAACAACAAAAAAGAAGCATATTAAGCTATTAAATATTTTGCACAAGAGTAATTGAAACAAATGATTTTGGGGAGCACTACGATATCCATTAAATACATAAAAAATCTTCCAACAGATGTTTTCATCTTCTCTGTGCTGAAGATGTCATAACAATACTACAGGGACATCATCGTAATTTTAGCCGTAAATTTATGGAATGACAATATTACTCTTTCTCACTGGATACACAATGTATTGATGGACTGTATATGTGATTTCAATGAATTGCTGAGGTAAGGCGATCTGTACAGGAAGGGCTCAAAAATGCACAATCATCGCAGAACAAAAAGTGTGAAAGAAAGATACTTTGGTTAAAGATAAACTTTAGTACTGGTAATGCGATTGCATTGTGAAAGAAAAGTGTTGGAAAGGATCAGAAACAGTTGATCATGTAGCATGTAAGTATTGGTGTGCACTGCAAGGTTCTGGATTCATCAAAATCATAATAAATTTGACCGAGTCTTGGTAAAGTAACAAGCACTTACACAGAAAGCTATATATGGGACAACAATCACAACACACATGGTGTCGGGGCTGGTACTACCTTGATTTCCTTGTCTTCTTATGCTCATTACTCAGCCAGTATACATTTTCTTCCAAAATTGTTTGGCACATGTCATTTATTTGTAATCTTGAACATTCAGTGTAAGTTTCGTTTGATTCTGTGAGAATTAATTTTCTTTTTTTTTTACCAGAACTCAAGTTTATCTTTAAAGGGAAAGTCCACCCTGAAATTAAGTTAGTTTTAATAGGAGTAGAAAAATGAGAGAAACAAGTCAGTGAAAGTTTGAGCAAAGTCCGATTAAAAATAAGGAAGTTAGGATTTTTGAAGTTGTGATCAATCAAACACAAATTGGCAACTCTATGACGTATCATGCGAGCTCAACTTCCATTTGCTCAGTACTAAAAAAATCTAAAATTTTCATTTTCCCTCAAGAAAAATTTCAACCATACATGCACCCTAAATATAAAAATTGCAAATATGTTTCTATACTCCCCCTGCAAGGAACAAATATATATTCCGTCATCAATAACGAAGAAAACATGATTTCATGGAATATTATGCACAAAGAAAATGAAGGAGAGCTCGTATAATAAGTCACAGAGTTGCCAATTTGTATTTGATTGATCACATCTTCAATAATTCATAACTTTCTTATTTTCATTCAGAATTTGCTCAAACTTTCACTCACCTGATTTTCTTATTATTCTGCCTCTATCGAAACAAACTTATTTTGGGGGTGGACTTTCCCTTTAATATGTGAAGCATGATGTTAATAGGTTCAACCAGTAAACAAACCACCACCACCACCACCACCACCACCACCACCACCACCAGCAGCAAAAGGGCCTCACCGAAATACCATTATTTCATATTCTAGGAAAATAAAGAAAGGAGTCTTTCAACTAAACCAAAGTGCCACAAACGGATGACAAGTCTAAAGAAAATATATAGATTGATTAAAAAAACTACAAATATTTGATTGTTCAATTAGCATGGCGACACACCTCCCCCGGACAATTTATGGAGAAAAACCAGGTGCTCTATTGCACACGTTATAAAAGAATTAAAATTACATTGTTTAGATTTGATGAAAAAGATCTTGTTGAGATTGTTCATGTCTGCTACATAACTTTGTCATGTGATATAACTAGTACCTGGACAAAATTGAAATTTGCCATCATAAAAGTTGTACTGGTAAGAGTGCTGATAATGAAAAGTGATATTGATAATAAACTTTTATTGTAATAGGCAATAGAACCTGACCTAGAGCTTGTCCTCGTTCGCAAAAAATAAGGTCGATTAGGATATCAGTAAAGTTTTGTAAGGAAAATCCTGCATAAAGCATTTCATATTTTGGTTCTTATATAACGATGTCAAATACTGATTTACTAAAGGCTGAAAATGCCTAATGTATAATGCCTGGGAAGATTATACAGGTCTGACACTAAACCCTCACTTCTACTAAAATGCTTAACACCATACACTAGCACCGGAGAGGTGTGACAGAGTTTATTTTTTAGTGATTGGATGAAGGGATGCTGTAAGTTTTTAAGGCCACTATGGTTGAACACCACACCCTAACACCATACACCAAAGACTTACATCAAACATTAACATTAAACACAGACTGAGCAATCAATGAGAATGACAGGGTTTCTCATCTAAGTGTACATGAAGTTGCGGAAGAAGATAGGATTGCTAAGTTTAATACCAAACACAAAACTTTAAACTAATGCAAACACCCCATATCACATGGGAAACACCAAACACTACACGGAAATACCATGCTACAAACATTCAGTAAGTACATTTCTCTTCTGACTGTGGTAGAAGCTTGGGAAGAAGAAGACTGTTCCAATAAGTGGCACAAAATGCTCACATTTACAGTAACAAAAGCATGAGACATTTATAACACCAAACACTGACCTATTACATATAAGATGAGTGACTACATGTGTAGGTTTCTCTCCTGGCTATGGATGAAGCTCGGAAGGAAGATGAGATCTAGATGAAGAAGATCAGTGTGTTGTGGCCAATTGGATCCTAGATCATAACATCTACATTAGCAGAAACACCAAACACCCGCATACAAAATTAACACCAAACACCCACATACAAAATTAACACCAAACACTTGATCTACAAACCTTAAGATAAGTGACTGGGTTTCTCTTCTGGGTATGGATGAAGCTAGGGAAGAACATTGGGTCACGGATAAAGAAGATAGATACACCAACATCAAACATTAACACCAAACACTTGATCTACAAACCTTAAGATGAGTGACTGGGTTCCTCTTCTGGGTATGGACGAAGCTAGGGAAGAACATTGAATCACGGATGAAGAAGATAGAAATACCAAACACCAACATCAAACATTAACACCAAACACTTGATCTACAAACCTTAAGATGAGTGACTGGGTTTCTCTTCTGGGTATGGATGAAACTAGGGAAGAACATTGGATCACGGATGAAGAAGATGGGTGTGTTGTTGCCGACCAGATCCCAGTTGCCATCCTCTGAGTAGAATTTGACGGCAAAGCCACGAGGGTCGCGGGCTGTGTCAGCCGATCCAGACTCGCCACCTTGAATCAAATCAAACATATACATTAATTAATATTCTGTTCTTGTAAAGCACATATCACATTGTACAACGTCTCTATGCGCTGACAAAGAGCTTTGGAAATTATTACCCTAGCTTTAGCTCCGGCAGCCGTAATCAGCGCACAGTCAATTGAGAAAAAATAAATCCTACCAGGTACCCATGTTACATGTTACTTGGTGACCCAACATTTTATCCAGGGTTTTATTTTGTCAAAGGTATACGGTTATGGTTAGGGACATGATTATGTTCTACAGGTAGCTTGGGTTTAATAGGTGTAGTATTGGGTACAGGGTTGAAGTAAGATATTAGCACCTAGTGTAGGATAGTAGGATTGATCTCAGTACAATGAAGTGTTAAATGAGCATATGCCGTACACCAGCTTTGGTGACATGACATTTGACCTTGGGGACCTTTGCTCCTGGCTTTACTTCCTAAAAGTTATGGTTAGGGTGCGGTAAGGTCTTACATGTAGGTTAAGGGTTAGCATCTTAAACCTGGAGGTATTGTCAATGTAGCATGTGTATTACATAACATCTACACCGCAATGTTGTTTTGAAAGCAGACATCGACCTTAGATTCTTTAATGACTCAGTCTTGACCTGAGATCTTGGATGCTAAATTTAAACGTGAACGGAGCCATAAACTTTTCTTCCTGGTATACCGCACATTGTAAGTCATGCAACATGCATCTTTGCTGGTACACGTTATGGTTTTCAGATCAAAGTAGGGTCAAATGTTTCGAAACATGTAAGGTTCTTGAAGGTTTCCAAAGATAAGACATCCATACAACTGTACATGTAATAAATGTAAGTCTTTTATGTAACTGTTTTGCTGTGTATTACAGGTAATGTGTAATGTACATTTTGCATACTGTAGGATGAATGTGGGCAGACATTGTTTAAAGTCAGTTGGTTTCATGATTGTATTTTGTCAAACTTATTAGAATTATGTTGTATTTCCTATAAGCATTACTGTATAAACATGTCTTGAAATTAAGATAAGTTAAAGATAACCGAGATAATTTTTTTTTCTTCTTTTCATACTGATCGACGGTGGCAAATCGGATGGACACAGGTATCATCATCAGATAATTTGTTCCCTGTACTATTAAATCATTTTGTAGATCTGTAACATGTCTTGAATTAAGATAAGTTAAAGATAACTGATAAAAGAAGACCTTTGGGTTGCAGTTATTTATCTATTTAGTTAATTTTTTTCTTTTCCCGGCATCCATGTGACTCTTTTCCAATATACTCTTGTTTGTATTCAATGATTTTCTTTGTTTTTGATGAATAAATAATAATAATAATAAATTTCTTTTCTCTTCTCATACTGACCGACGGTGGAGAATCGGATGGCCACAGGGGTTTTCTTCCCCACGGACTCAAAGGGTGCAGCCTTGCAGTATTTGGAGATGTCGTGCGTGGTCTCAAAGTATCCAAAGGCACCTGAATAAGAAGACAAGGAAAAGAGGATATTATCTACCAACTGACTAAAGAATTTTCTCATATATACTATTACTATTATCATTATGACATACATGTTAATCAGTGACTATGCTTACAGCCCCTCTGTCCTACTTGTAGCTACTTGCTCTCTCTATATAGAAAACTTCCCCAATTGGTGCCTGTTGGTCCCCCATGATCCTCTTTTTCTTTTGTTATTTGAGAGCTGAGTTAATGAGATAGCCACCTGTCAGTGACCTCGCTGTGTGGTCTAATCCCTTCTGGCTCAGTAGTATTGACGCTCTTTAAATAGGGACCAGCTACTTTGACAATATGTAAATTGTTTTTATGCAAGAGTCCTTGTAACAAGTCTACGGTAGTAACGTCTACTTAACAAAGTTCAGTGTGCAGAGTCATGATTTTTTTTCATTGCTCGGAGAGACATTGCCAGGGAATCTAAGAAAAAGTAGCCATGATTAGTTCCATAACTACTACTTTTTCATCAACACTTGCCATCCATTCACACAGAGAACAAATTATCATTTTGCTCCCCCGCGCAAGCATTTACAAGGCAGTATACCGGATTTGTGTGAATGACCCTCAAGGATTAAATTTCTCCACTCACCAGCTCCCTTAGCGTGCACAACCCTCTCAGGGATGCGCTCCCGACCGAAGTGCGACATCTCGTCGGTGAAGACGAAGTCCTGGATGAGGACCGGGCCACGGGCTCCGGCCGTCATGGTGGCCAACTTGTTGTCGATTGGACATCCTGTTGAGGTGGTCAGTCTATCTGACTTTCCCTATCAAAACAATAAAAAAAGAGAACAGTTTATAACTTTTGTAATTCCTGTAGGAAAGAACGTGATATACTCAATTATGAAAATGATGGGGGCAAAGACTATCGTTAACCCCCCCCCCCCCCCCCCCCCATCATAACCATATTTATACACATGAGTGTAATGTTGACACGCTTGCATTCACACTTTATTTTAAAACCATTTGCTCATTATAATGAAAAGAATACTGCACATTACATACCGGTAAATGAAATAACAAAAATGGAAAAATACAACCACAATCCTGATGGTGACCATGGGCCATGTACAGAATTCAGATTAAAAACCCATGGCCAATTTTTAAATGTACCCGTATATATATTTTCCATATATTGTATAATTGCTTGTGGTACAGTATACATGTACATGTACATGGTTGAATGATGATTGTAGACGGAGCAAAGAGGTAAGATTTCAAGATTTCAAATTTTTAAAGATTTCAAGATTTCAAGATTTCAAATTTATTCATGTTTCCAACAAAAATAACAAACCAATTATAAGCATTTAAAACAAATTTAAGAAATACATGTTGGAAACAGAGGGGTCCACTAAAAAGCAATGCTTGTACAAGTGTGAACATCTCAAAGAAACGTGGCGAGTCCTGCATGATAGAGGCAAACAAATGACACCATTACTTGAACAAATTCTGCTTTGTAAATTATACATGTAGGGGCATTTATACTATGAGCACAAATCCTGGGTTATTCTCAAGTTCCGAAGAATGTCAGAAGCTGCAGATCAATTACCAATAAATACTACAAAAATCACTTCAAACCCATCTCTGGAGTATGTTTTTGGCCAAAACTCCGCTGTTTTTTGCAGTGTAAACACTCGCTCTCAAGACAGTGGTCAGTGACTCTCTTCACTTCTGCGCTATCCCATGCAGAGCACTTACAAGCCACCGATCGCTTATCAAAACGTGGAAAGTTTTGATGACACCCGAACACCATTGGTCTTGGGTTTTTTCAGTAGTGTTAATGTGCCATATGTCCCTATACTATAGGTTAACTTATTTCAAACTTGTAAATCGAACCTGCCTGTGTTTCCTCTCGGAATTGAGAGTCAGATTGAAAGAGGATACATGTATATCACTCAAAGTAAACCAAGGAAAATGAGGAGTTAGAGTAGCAACTTTAATAGTCTCTGCTCAAATCATCGGGGAGATCTATTTTCTAATGGGGTTCAGGAAAAACTGAAAAGTAAATGTACATAAAAACCTTCGCCTGTTCTAGTTTCTGTGAATTATTCTACAGAAAAATCTTGACTCCTGTCCTTAAAAATATCTTGTGCACAAAGCATCCTGCTGACAATCTAGGACAACAAAGGAAGATATTGTAGGCATTGTACATGTACTGTATGTACTTGTGAAAGTACGACAACACATTTTTTTTTTCTTTGTCAGCAGAAATATTTCCAAAACATTGAGAAATATTTCAGATTCAAACTAACCTTTAATCACTCAAAATCCAAGAAAAGTGTAAATATACTACATGTATTTAGCACACTCATTTTTTTCGGGATGCAACACAAATCATCAGGTTTCTCTCCAATGTATCCTTTATTAATAGAACCCATCTTAACCTTAAAGATCCCATTTGCTCCCAAAGGCGAGAGGGGGGGGGGGGGTGATAGGGGTAGCATAACCAGGTATAGGGGGTAAAGAGGGAAACAGACTCAGGTATTGCGATGGCACTTGCTGGAGACAGATGATGGAGGTTTCCTGCGGATATTTTCTGATGAATCATGGAAAAATTGGGAGGGGAGTATCCCTGACAAGACTAGAATATCACTGTAAACTCCAACTTCATGTAGATACATGCAATTCTCTATTAACATTATGAATGTGACTAAAAGCATGCACCTCTGTGCCATACGTTATACATTGCATGAAGGCCTATACACTGGGGGCCTACGTGTCTACTTAGATATTGATTGTAAAATTCTCACTGAAGCCCACAAACTCTTCTCTTCTTTCTTGGGGAGGGGAGGGGAGGGAAGGGGAGGGAAGGGGGGTTACAAAAACACATCTACACACATCTACATACACGTACATGTACATACTTTGATCTTTTCTTTTTGAAAGTTATGATGAATCTACATGTAGTTTTTACAAGACATTCTTTCTTTTTTTAAAGACAAATTTAAAAGGTGCCCGGGACTGGTCGGGTAACCATCTTTAAACTCGGCCTATGCTGTTAACATATCACTTTTATTGACTGGTGTACACGTACATGTACATGCACAGGAATCAAGTTTTAAAATTCTGCCAGTCTAAATCTGTGACAATTATTAAAAGGGAAGGGTGATCATTAGGATAGAGTGGTCCAAAAATATCCATCCTTTTCAAATGGGTTTTTCTCAAAACTAATATGATTTATATAACGCTCAAGTCTGTACAACCGTCATGTCAATTTCAAAACTAAAACAGGGGCATCATGATTGTCAATGTTTATTGTAGAAGTTCCAATCCAGACCTCACAGGAAGAAAAAAATTGAAAGAAGAAATAGTGTAGAGATATTATAGACAGAGTAGTGAGTACATTCCAAGATAAAGTTTGATTATATATTTTGTACTTCCAGAATGTAGGTTACAATGTAGGTAAATCTATAACAACAACAAAACCAAAACAATAACAGAAACAAGCCAGCAATCAAATATTGTTTGCTGTGTGGAATCACACCTATTATATAAAAAATCTGGTAAAACCCCTTGTAAAACGAACAAACAAAAACAAAAAACAAAACAAAACATTGAAAACAAGTATTTTCTCAATTATTTGGGATCCGATCCTTTGCCTTGTCCTACGTTGTACATGCAGGCCTACACGTAGACCTGTACTTGGTTCTTGTTTCTAGTGGCACCCATGCGGCTCTGTGAACACAGGATATTAAAGTCTGGTATTAAAGAGCTCTTGTATAACAAACAAACAAATACAAACAAAACATTGAAAACGAGTATTTTCTCAATTATTTGGGATCCGATCCGATGCCTTGTCCTACATGTAGGCCTACACGTAGGTACTTGGTTTTTGTTTTCTAGTGGCACCCATGTGGCTCTGTAAACACAGGATATTGCTCTTCTGACACGCTGGATTCCGTTACACCGTGAATCACCCATCAATCCGCTCCCAGCGAGCAAAGGTGCCGGGACACCGATTTTGACCTTGTAATTCCGCTATTAAGAAACCACCGGGCCAAGTAGTGTCGCATTCAATTTCCACCCTCTTTGAATCCTCTAGGGGGAAATTGGTTAAACCATTGCAGTACAGTGTCTCCTTTTAGTGACGTTTTACACTTATCTTTTGATCCAGAGTGCTCTGAATTACAAAGAGCAAAAATCACTGGAAAATTTGAGCCCATCTTTTTGTTGTTGGAATACATTGTGCCATTCATAAATAAGAGGGAGTTAATCGAAAGCAATCATTAAAATCTCTATTATAATTAAAGTGGAATTCATGATCACTATTTTCATGTGCAAATTGGCAATTTCTTGTTATTTGTCAACTTGTGATCAATTATTTGAACACAAACTTGCAAGTCTGTGGTGTAGTATTGCGAGGTCCCTTCCCTTTTGCCCTGTACTAAAAAAAAAAACTTTCCCAGAAGAAAGATTTTGATCGGACATGCACCCTAAATATAATCACTGCAAATATGTTTTTCTGCTTTTAATAAAAACTTACATGTAATATCAGGGTGGACTTCAACTTCATTAAGCAAGCATATACTGCATAATAAGAAAATTTGAGAAAATTCCAAACAGCACGTGATCTAAGTTTGAGTTAGTTGAAGTTTTATGCTGCAAAATCATTAATTAAAAATGATATGTACTTTTGTAATTCCTGACGTTAAAGGCCAAATAAAAGTCATTTCCAGTGGCATCTTCTGGTCTCGTTCATTTTATTTTTTGTTTTAAATACCACATGGAAATGAAAGGGAAAGTACGAAGTTAAGGATGCACACAAAACTAGTCATCAAATTCACTTAACTTCAATTTTAAGTTTCATTTTTAGAAAGCCCTGGTTTATATACTTTGCGCTATAACAGTACTTGACATGCAATTGCATTGTGAAATAAACTGTTTACATGTAAAAAAAAGCAATTGGAAAAGGTTGATTATTGCACATTACAATTAATAAATGTGTAATGTACAGTTTCGGAATGATAAAATGGGAGATCTTGCTGAAGATCACATACATACCGTAGTCAAGTACACAAGAATAGGTAAATATACATGGGACTAGTTTACTTCAGACAAATGGTTGGACCAAACTTTCAGCTACACCATGTACATGTACATCCTTGTCATATATTTTAAGGTTATTTTAAAAGAACTCCTTTTCAGGAGACATGTCTACTATGATATTTCTTTCAATAATAACATTAACTTGGATTTAAATAACATTAGCACTTAATACGGAAAATGGCTCAAAGGGCTTTATTAGATATTATTACCCCGGTCATTGGATTCATTTACGCACAATGTGCAACATCTCCATAGGAGTATTCCTATCATATGGTCACCGTGATGGCATAGACAATTACTAACACAAATGCTTTTTTCATCTTACCGGGCCCCATTTCTCTTTGGGTTTCGAGTGGCAAAAGTAGATTGATGCCTTGCCATAGGACACAAGTGCCGTGTCATACTGACATAGAAAGAATGAGAAACCTCGCTTATCATTGTCCATCTTTACGTGAACTCTGCCTTCTCTATAACGGAACCAATGGCTCATGAATTACAAGCACGAATAACAAACAATAGGACAGAGAGATAACGATGATATCAAAATCTTGACAAGGCCGAGAACACACCACCTAACAATATATTCCAAATTCCAAAGTGCAATCATGCATACATGTAATTGCATATCAATATTTCATTTTCCTTTCATGCAAATATAATTCATAGAAGGTCAGTAATAAAACTGCCATTGACAATACATACATTAGCTGTAATGGTCTCGTAGGCAGCTAACAAATTGCTGTTAGAGAACAAGAATAAAGTGTGTTTTTCTTTTTCTTAATCTTTTTCTTACATTGTGTAAACATGTTTTCCTAAAAACGAGTTGATATTCACAATTAGGAGGCTTTGCATGAAGTGTCACCAAAAGATCCCAAAGGTGACGAACCATTTTCCTTTCATTATTAACCAGTTGGCTATTGAATTCTCTTGGGTAGGCAAAGGTTCACGGTCACCCAATACCAGTTTAGTCTCACCTTCTATTTTCATCTACATGTAAAAGATTCAGAATGCTCTGAATATCTGTAGTGCACATTAAACATGAGCAGAAGGCACAAAACAGACTTGTGAATTTTAGTCAATTATTATGCTGTTGCATTGATACACTGTAAATCGCAGCAATTTAATATAAAACAAATCATTGAACTCTCTAAATTGGCAATGCAAAGCATGATTAATAATCTCTATTTTTGTCGACAAATTTGAAACTCCATGCTGATTTCCAGTTTAAACTATAATGAAAGAGTCGGTGGAGAAAACAAATAATTGTTGCCAAATTTGAGGAGGAAAAGCTGCTTCATTTAGACCTGCAGAAAACTCTTAACTGCTTTTGGTTTAAGAAGTTGGTAAAAGTTTTCTCCTGCCCAAAAGCGCATGTGGGAATCGATCGCTCCAAAGGTTTAACTTTATATAGCCTACAAGTAAAAAAAAAAAAAAAAAAAAAAGGTTTTGATGTAGGGCTTAATTTCATGGATGAACTACACGTACATGTAATGGTAGTTATTTTCTATAGTATTTTTTTGCATCAGTAACTTGAAACAAAAAAAAACGATTACTACAGAAAAACAAGATTAAGTACACTGTGTGCTATGACCCAGTGATGTCTTGATTCGCATGGGTTAATTTTCCTTGTATCTGCATGTAGCGAGACTTTCAAAAGACCAACAAATCGTTTCTTGGAAATCATGCTTTGGAATTGAACACAAGAAATAATGTTTTATATCATAAACATTTAAAACAAGAATGTTATGCAATAAATCACGGGGAGGGAGAATAGGAAAAGATATGGTGGCTTCTTGCAAAAGGAGTTATCATGTTCGTCACGTCCTGAACTTCTTGGCACTCCAACATTATTTCCCCAGTCATAGCCCAGCCAAGAGCCACATAATATAATTGTTAAATCTGGGATACATGGCCAAACGTGTTATTAGTATCTGTGATAGGGTGTAATAGTAATACTAATATATTGAAGTCCTTTCAAAAATTGTGCTTCAAAATTATCATTAAAGGTAAAGACCAGTCATGGTCATGCGATTGCATTGTGAAAGAAACGTTGTGGAATCGATCAGAAAAGGTTGATCATCTAGCATCTAGCATTTGCAAGGTTCTGGAATCATCAAAATGATAAGAAATTTGGCCCATTCTTCGTAAAGTTACAAGCACTATACACAGAAAGATGTATATGGGACTACCCTATATCTCTCACAGACCATGAGAGAAACAAATTTACCAAATATATGAATTAGTAGGCGGTTTCCCGGCAAATTTTTTATCATCATGTACATTAGTCAAAACATATTCTTTCACATGATTGGTAATGAGAGCTTCCATTTCATTTTTTGAAATTGGGGCGCTTCCAATAATGGTCTTTACCTTTAAGTGCCTCAAAAAAGTAAAAATCTTTGAGTGACCAGTTTTACCATTCCCCAATAGACCGTAGTGTTATAAAAACCGTTGGGGAAAAGAGGTTTTTGAAATTTCGAATTCTAATCATAAATATGATTGATAATCAGACGAGCGATTGGCTTTTAAATGTCATGGGGTTCCTGACTGACCCTAAAGGTTTATGATTATGATTACAGCATGAGCTAAATCCAGGATTTTATCTAGAAATTAGAATCTGATGAGGCTTCCCTGGGCAAACAAAATGATTATTTTAAGTACAATGTCATGTCCATATTGCATTAAATGAATTATAAATACTATGTTCAACTTTTTTTCACAGAGTCTGTACGATAATGGGTTTTTAAACAGTTGAACTTTGAATTGCCACTTCATACCTGTAACATTGCCACATGTACAGTATACACGTAAATTGTTATAATGCAACTGAAGAAAAAAATGTTGCTGTGAGAGCTAAAATGTTTAATCTTGCAAGGGCAATGTCAATTTACATAAATGTACCAAAACAAGCATTGACTGGTCATAGTGCATGTTTAATCTTACTAGGTCTGCCTTCAAAATTATCATGAACTTTGCATATTAGACAACTACCAGTAGACATGATTTTGATGTTTGCTTGTTTAACTTGTTGAGTTTATTCCAAAGATTGACTCTGGAACAGGTGCACTTTGAATTTGTTTTTATTTGTAAAATATGATGTTAGAACAAGATTCAGGATTCCTACATTATAATGCCTAATTCTCCTATTGATATTTATAGATATTTTGCAATGTATGTATTATGTAACACCAATGGAAAACAAATTGTTATATTATTATTCATGGAAAGTAAAACTTGAACCTTGGGAGGAAGGGAGAGAGAGTGAGAGTATGGCCAGGGGTTTAAATTCATATTTCTTTGAATTTTTTTAATCTAATACTGATGAATTTATCTTCCATGTGATTGCCAGGTGACTGTCTTGGGTTTTATTTTGTATGACTACATGTACGTATGAGATAAAGCTAGCAGCGTAACAAATTAGACAGAGACTACAATAGGTCTATAACAGAAATATATTTCAAACTCTAAAACTACTAGGGTCTATTGAACTTTGAAGTAAAGTGTATATCTAACAGGTTATTACTACTATTAGATCTGTCAGTTAGATTCAAATTAATTAGACTAACAATACTTAATACACAGATGCAGTTAGAGTTTTATATCTAAATCTATTAATTAAAGGGGTGAAGCATGACAAATACTGGTGCACGCCATCTACCACTTCTTATTGACAACTACAAGCCCAGGTAAATGCAATTAACGGTCAGGGCACCCTAGTGTTCCAGAAACCATGGAAACAGACCAAAGTTCTCCTCACGCTTCGGTTTCGCGTATGTTGCCCGCACATGAATACTGCGGTCGCATCGTCCATAGTCGTATTATACTCCATTGGCCCCGAGTCAGGCCATGGGAAAGACACCTAGTCTCGTCATGCTACACTCCCTTTAATATTTTGAAGCGAGACTCTCTACAATACTACTTGAGTACAGTATAAAGTACAATTTACAAGAAAAACATAAATGTACAACAACATCATATTACATTAGCATTGTCCACACTCCCCGCAGGCCACAAGCACCTTCGACAACATCTGCATACATTTAGATCTAATGATGTAGACTATGTTAAGTCAATAATTATGTCGACATTGCATTTTATTTGGTAGCGCGATCGAGCGAGATTAAACTCATGTCCGAGGCTGTGAGCTGTGCGAAGACCTGGCACTGCCTCAGCCCTGCTCCGATTCCGCTTCAATCCAGCCACTATTCCTGGCGCGCTGCCCACCCCGCCGCGCCGCAGCCAGAGGCGACATGCAGAGGCAAAACATGATAAATCGACGGAGTTAGAATATAAATTGGTGAGGACAAAAAAAATACAAATAAATAAATACCTTTTGGGCAGTACAATGATCTTCGAGCTGCCTAGCTGCCTTGTCTCTGTTTGCCATATTTTAAGATTTTGATTTACTAGAGTATGGAGAAGGATTTATGGGAAAGAGAACAGTAGTACCGCGTCAGAGCTGGAGATCGAAATCACAACAAGTGCTTCAATACTATACTGCATATCATACGAACAAGTACGCATTTAGAGCTAGTGAAAACCTTACCATACGTGTTACACGTTACACACAAGTTACACTTTGACCTCATTTTCACGAACCCTTGATCGAGGTCATTGGTTACATCACGTCATTCCCGTCGCTGATTGGCTAGAAACTGGAGGGCTCGCCCTTACGTCACAATAAACAGATTTGCATACATAATTGATGGTATCTAAAAGTTAGTTATTGTTGCCTTGACCTATTGAAGGCCAGGGATGAAATGAAGAATAATAAAAACAGATAAATAATAATAAACTTGGATAAGTCAGCTAAATAGCATGTTTTTATTTTGTTGTTATGGTTGTTAATTTTGTTTTTGTTCCGTAATTCTGTTTTATTCGGGCCCCAGGCGCAGCTAGCGTTTCATCGCATTCCCGACGAAAATATTTTAAGGGTTTTAAAAAATGGAAATAAAATTATGTAGATCTAGTAAAGGAAAAGGGGAGAGAAATATAGGGTGAAGGATAAGTTAGGAAGATTTATTTTAAAGCATGGTTTTAAAATAAAAAATGCTAGTTGAAGTTTCAAACGTGAAGGAACATTTTAACAAAATATGTAGAAGGAAACAATTTGCATAACCATGTCGTAGGGTCATCGCTTTCGTGCTCCTTAATTATATAGCGCCACCTAGTGTTAGCGACATTTTAGTCAAGATATAGCTAATTAATGGTGATATGGTGGCTGAATGAGACCTCTTTTTTATAATGAAAGGGGAGGCAAGGGGAGTGGCTGGGGGGGGGGGGAGACTCATATCGACTTACCCACCCACATGCAGTGCATGAAAGGTTACCTTTTAAAAATGTTTTTGCTTTAACCTTTGATATTAAACTTAGGATCTTCTGATCATTATCCATTTTACACTATGGCTTCTACACTATGGCTTCGATCTTTCTTCTTTTTTTTTTTTTTTTTTTTTTTTTTTTGGGGGGGGGGGGTCGATATACATGTCTATATTATATCGACATGTAAATATCTATCCACTTAAAATCTCACCCCATTTTTTTAAACCTCTCGTTTTCCCCTTAATTATTAAAATGGCTTTCCATCGATCTCTGAATTGCTCTTATTTTTCTGTCTCCCCTTTTCCCCTTCTTTCCAGTCCTCATTCCTATTTTTCCCTGCTCCTCCCAACCTCTTTCGGCCTATCTCATTCTCTGGGTGATCTCTCTCTCTCTCTCTCTCTCTCTCTCTCTCTCTCTCTCTCTCTCTTCTCCCCCCCCCCCCCAACTCCTCTCTATTTTCAGTCTAGCTCCCCTCCCTTACTTTTTCTCCTATCTCTCTCTGTTTCTAGATCTCCTCCCCTTTCTTGCTTTCTCTAATGTCTCTATCTCTCTCTCTATTTGTCCATTTCTACATTTATCTCCCCCCCCCCTCTCCCTCCTCTCAGACTCCTCTTTTCATCCTCCCCCTTTCTTGCTTTTTCCAATATGTCTCTATCTCTCTCTATTTCTTCATCTCTACATCTATTCCCCCCCCCCCCCCTCCCTCCTCTCTCTCCCCCTTTTCTCAGACTCCTCTTTTCAGTCTCCCACTTTCTTGCTTTCTCTCGTCTCTTTCTCACTCTACATCCATCTCTCCTCCTCCCCCAAATCTCTCTCTCTCCATCCTCTCTTTTTCAGTCTCTAACCTCCCTTACTTTCTATCCTATCTCTCTTTGTCTCTCTACATCCATCTTTAGATCACCCCCCCCCCCCTTTCTTGCCTTCTATAATGTCTTTTTTTGTAATGTCTCCATTTCTCTCCCTATTTCTCCATCTCTATATTTATTCCCCCCCCCCCCTTTCTCTAAGACCTCTCTTTTCATTCTCACTCTTTCTTGCTTTCTCTAATATGTCTCCATCTCTACATCTAGGTCTCCCATTCCCTCCCTTCTCTCCATTTCCCCTTTCTTGCTTTCTCTTATATCACTCTCCCTCCCTCCTTCATCTTGGCCCTCTCTTTTCAGTCTCCGCTTTCTTGCTTCCTCTCCTCTCTCTCTCCCTCTCTCCCTCCTCCCTCCCTTCTCTCTCTCTCTCTCTCTCTCTCTCTCTCTCTCTCTCTCTTTCTCTCTCTCTCTCTCTCTCTCATCACCTCTTCCAAATGAAATTTACCACTAACTCTTTTTTGTCACCTCCTCTTCACTTGCCTTCCTTGGCATATGTCTTACCAGTACATGAATAAAAAATACAAAGGGACACAATTTATATTTTTTCACTGTGACATATACAAGGACAATTGCACACATTTATTCTTTCAACCTATGGGAGGCTATGTACACAGCCAGTAATGTACACCTATGCACATGAAAGCTGAGGGGAGACAATGAATACAGAATCCGTTTGTACAAATGTACCATTCTACAAACACCTCTTTGATAAAATTTGGTTCCTTTCTTTCATAATACACAATGAACTTCGAGAACACATGAAGAATGATATAATATATAGAAGTAGTACTATAGATACAATATTTCACAATGCCACCATTTAGATTCTGAAAAATAAGGAATGTTAGCTATTGTTCCTTTTCTATACAGCTATTATGGATGGAAAGAGAATCAGAAACAATTACATTATAAGCTGTTAAGATATATATTTTCACTTTGGTTTAACTCGATGACTACACATCTACAGAACTTCAAAGAAACATAAATAATCAAATCAATGAATACGACAGACTGTGCTTGATTTCCTGAAAATATTAAGTAAATGCTGCGTTTGGATGCCAATTTGATACTACTTCGGAGCCGCAACAATCAAGGATTTATCACGTAAGCAAGCTCAATCCAAGCAGCAATGAAAGCATAACAATGCAAGAAAACAGTATCTCTGCATCCAAGCTTGTATATTTCTGGTTTGTAGCAATTATACAAAACCTTCCTTCCTTCTGATAGATTTTAAGAAAAAAGGTATCCTATTTTCAGCAACAAAAAACAAAAATAATATTTCTGTTCTTCGAATAGGTATGCTTCTGAAGGAAAAAGCTTCTATGACAAATAAAATTTGGAATGTAAGTAGAACAAACAGTATGATTGACTCCATTTGTACAGGTTTATGGTGTATGAATATGTATTCAACTTGTGCACATCTAAAGCAACCTTAAAAGATACGTTGGTCGATGTTTGGATTGCGAGAAGACTGTATTTCCCTTTTGGAAACCTGTTAATTTTGAAAGGCTAAAGAGCATCATTTGTTATCTGTAGTAACATAGATATTAATATTTCTTTAAAAAAAGAAAATGCTGATCCTGACCAGTTTTAAGTTCACGGCCCAAAAAGAAACTGAAATATCGAGCTACCAATGATTAGAAATTCCTGCAGCACAAATCTATTTCCCTACTCAAAAGACGGCATTCCTTCGTATTTCAGACCAAAGTATCTTGTTTATAATGTTATCCACTATTCTACTTACACTAAAAATTCTTTAGAGTCATTAAAAAAACACAACACCAATGTCTATACATGGGATTCATACCAATGGCTGGGGATGTTCTAAATATGTCATGGGTAATACTACCATCCTAAACGCTCAAAATTTCACTTTCCAAACGCATACCGATAACATCTCGTTAACAAACATCAGCTAGCTAGTGCAACAACATGAAATAATTTACCACTTAAAACTAGATGTTTTTTTTTCTTCTCAATCCAAATAGAGATACTGGGGGAACAAATTCATAACTGACACAGTTTGATGGACAATTTTGTACAGTATCAAAAGATAATGCTATGTTTGAACATTTCAAGCATTTGACACTTTCCTCAACTATCCATTTTTCTTTACTTATTATTTATTATTTTCCATTAAACACTATTTTTTGGTATGTTTTCTTAATTCTTACATTTTCTTCCCATTTTTAAATCAACACCTGATGCCCTTTCCACAATGAACAAGGACAATATAAAGCAACCCCGCTTTGCTTCTTGAATGAATTAACATTAGGAATGTATTTATAAGCAGTGACTTGGAATATCATAATCATGAGCCTAAATTATATTGCTTTGATAAACAATATGAGCTTAAAATGGTTTGTTATATAGATCAAATAGTTTCTCCTCCTAAATTTGCACAAAATAACACTGGGTAACCACACACAAACTCATCCAATATCTACATTATTTGCTAACACATGGGGGACATTTTCATCTAGAAATTACTCTCCAGTCAAACAAGAGGATTTCTTCACAGGCTTGATTCCAGGTGTTTTTGTTAATGTTAGTATAAGACCATTGAATAGATGAATATCACTGCCAGCACATCAGCTCTGGTCTGCTATAAACTTCCCGCCATTATTTTTAAAAGCAGGTGAGACTGCAAAATGAAAGCCTTTGGCAACTTTTTATTTGCTTCAAACAAAGCTCTAAACATTGCAACATTGCAATCATTTAACATTAACTGTAAATTCTCTCTGAATATCCATCCCTACTTTTAATTCTTGTTGAAAAGATAAACAAAAGCTGGGGAACAAAGTAATTTGAATCAAATAAAAAAGATTAGGTAAATAAGATTAGGAAATTAGAGACTAATATACAGCTGATAAAATGTAAACATTGTTCGTGTTGTGTCTATGTTAAAAAATGTCCTGTCTAGCGTGTTTTGTTTGTACACGTAATACCCTATGAGAATAATAAGATTGGTATGATAAAGATAAGATAATTTTGAATACATTAAATAATTAGTCTTCCCTGGATAATTTTCATGTGACTGTTTGAATATTATCTTAATATGTCAGTGATGAAATAAAAATCTTTTACATTCAAAGTAATGATAAATAAATAGTCTGACCTGAATACTTTAAAGCTGAATAGTCGACTGTTTGAGTATTACCATAATATGACAGTGTTGAGATATCTTTCACATTGTAATTAAAAATACAGAATTTGTGCTTGACTGTTAGATTATCACCATAAGTACATATTTATAGTGAACAGATTTCATGATACATCACCTGAAAGAAAATGGTCAGTGTAGAGAAAACAGGGATATTTTTTTAACGTATCATTCCTGATATAATCTCAATCTTATAAAACACACAGAACTTTATCCATTTTGTTAATTAAACTGGAGTTTACATGAAAACCATATCCCAATGCCTTCATTATTTAGAAATATAACGAGTACATGTACATTTCTGACTTTATTTAAGTACCATTTTCATTGTGTCTAGCCAATGCCTGGATGCCATTTTTAAGCGCAAGATTCTGATTCACGTCACAATAGCACAAATTCATTTAGATCAAGAACCATACATACTTTTTTCTTATTTATTGCAGTCTACATCTGTCCCTATAGCATTTTTATACCATGAAATGCAAACAGGGCTCTTAATAAGTAGCACGGCCTTAGGATTCGTACATACATCGTACAAGTACATATCAGTCGGTACTCTTTCATTTGAAATCGAGAGTAAACAAATCATATTGCATTGCTAAATGCTATACAACTCATGACGACGAAATGATTTAAATCCTAGCGTAAGTACCCATACACATTATGTCTGGAGTAACATGAGTGTAGGTAATGATATACGATTATATGCCATTCACTAATTAAAAATTGTTAATAAATATATATGATAGACTTCATGGTAAAGACGTATTTACAAAAGAGACAGAACTGGTTAATTACATGTATTTACTTTTTCCCTAACAATAAATATAGTTTGGCATGGCAAAATATGCACAATTCTCTTTTTTTTCTTCTCAGTTCACAATACCATCATGTGAATTTCATTCATATATCTTTTATCTTCACATAAAAGAGCAGATTAAACACTATTAGATCCAGCAAATATATATTGGTTATTTAATTTAGCTGTTAGAACATCGGGGCAAAACTTGATGGGTACACCGAATTATGCCGACATAGAAAGTCAACATCCCAGTCCCAGCACACATATTATTAATAGTATATATATATATGGCAAGCTTGCACCTCTAAAGCCTCTTACAAATGTTTTAAATGAGAGGGGTGGGGCAAAACCACTTTTAAAAAATGTTTGTAAAGCTGCTTTTTAAGCTGCTTTAATACAAGCTTCTCCCATTACGTATTTGAAAAACTTATTCATTTCATGAATTTCTTAAAAAAAACTTTTTTCAGCATAAGCCAAGGACAGATGATATCTCTTAGCCTCTTTCTTTCTCCAACTCCTCTTGGCCTATGCTCAAAACCAGTTTTAAACCAACCTGCCCTCAACTCAATCTCCAGGGGTGGGGGAGGGGGGGGGGGGGTACTGGAGATACGTTGAAGGCTTGAAGTTGATGTCAATCTTTCAATTTGCAAACGATAAAAATTAATCTCCTTAAACGCTGCCAAAAAATCAATTGTACCTCATTGAGTAATTGAGCGCAAATACATTGTATCGTTGAATTATTAAAGATTCTGCTACAACAAAGATTGTGATGTTTACAAGTATAAAACGAACCCATCCCATTTTCATTTCATGACCCCCCAAATAATGATATTCTGCTAAAAGGTCATTGAAAACTGTCATATGTTTTCCAAACCTATTTTCAAAAAGTTCATGATTTGCCTGTTTTTTCTTTTAGGACAAGCGGTGGTTGAATGCCGAGACAGCACAAATAATTCATTGATGTTTTTATTCTTCCAATCTAGTAATTAAACCGCCAACATCCCATTAACATAGAAAGTCCATTAAGCCTGACGATCTTTGCGTCATTTCATCTTTATCTGTTGTTGTAGCAGAAACTGTTTGATAAGAGTTTTAGCGAGAAAACTCGGGGAAGGTGGGGGAGGAAGAAAGGATGACTGAACGTTTACTAAACAACCGGATCCCAGTAAAATGAATTGTCCTCTCACCATCATCATTGAATTGCACTGGTATTTCATCTTTAATTGTACTGTTGGTGGCATAGATATTTTTATAAAATATCATAAATCAGAATTGCGAATGATTCTGTCAATTGATACATTTTTTTATCAAAACAGTTTTTTGTTCAAATGAAATGCTAAGATGCTATCATCATAGGAGATAGCAGCAACTGTCATCACATAAAATTCATGGAAAACAAATGGAAGTTTATTGGATAGAATATTATCCTGTAGTAATACAGGAGCAACCCCATGCATCTGTTGATGTGGTTAAAGAGATGCCAACCCTGCGAGATCCGGTTGTTTTCTGTGTTGCGTTCCTATTCGACAAAAGACTAGTTCACACTCACAGGTATCCACGGTTCAGCAGACACACTGAAGAATTTATCCGTTCCCCACTGAACTTAAAAACGCGCTAACGAAACAAAGGATTAATGGGTGAAAAAGAGGTAGGGGTGAAGGGGAGGGGGCACTAATCAGCTATCACATTTAAGGAAGGGTAAGGAGAAGGGCGGGGTGGGGTAAGGGTCACCGGTATGAAAGAGATCGCAGAAGCTGGCTGGACTCAGGCTCTGCGATCATCGATTTTCACACCATTTATTCTGTTTCCTTTTTGTATAAAATCAATCAAACCGAAGCAAAGCAAAGTGCATTCTTTCGAGCTCCGCTGTGCTTCGGCATGATGAATACCAAGCAAAATAAATACATCAAAACATAAAACAGAAACTGAGGTACTGATTAAAGGTTAAAAATCTTTAGGCTGGCTTTTCTTTGCTGAAATTGGAGCGGTGGTATCGCGATATTCCTCTTCTCACAAGCTTTCGATCTTGTCTACATCATTATAGGTGGCTTTGGTTTGAAAAAGCTTTTATCAACAGAAGCAGAGCAAAGCTTGACTGAGTGCATACAGAAGGAGAATATAAGATAAGGCTTCTACTCTGCCATATGTAAACGGCTCTGAAGCATACACAGATGAAAACCAGCCTAAAGATTTACTAAATCAACTGCATGCTAAAATTGAGCACCTCCCATACCAACCCAGAAAGGGGATTTCGAATTTGCACTCTCTCCCCTCAATGAATCTAAATAGGGTGGGCTCAATAAAAAGTAACATCAAACAGATAGAACATAGAATAAAAATTGCTTTGAAATCTCACAGATTTCCGACTTGAGCAAATACAATGGCGTAGGCAGCTAGGCTTTCCTTACAGGCTTTATATAAGTTTATTTTCATTCAAACTAGATTTGAAACCCTGGCGGACCAGTTCCGAAAATCTCGCGCTGAAAACGCACGATCATTTCAGATCTGGTACGCGGTTTAATAACAAAGAGAACCAATACCGAGAATGGACCGAACGGTGGCAAAATCAGCACGTTGGATTGTGATATTATAACTGCTCCTCGATAATGCCACACAAATTTGATGTTACTTCTGAACCAATGCGGAATGGATGTGGATTTATGTCTCTCCTTTGTTGATACCTACAGAGGCATAACGCCATTGATTCAGAGTAATTGTAACAGTACACAATTCACACAGGTGTGTGTCATATGAATAAGATGTCATAGGTGTGTATAAATTCATTGGTAATGGTCCTCTTTGTGTCCAAAATTAACGATTAATCATAAAATCCAAAATCCCTCTCACAGGGCTCGTTAAATATTTTGAATCACTTAGATAAAATCATTCTTTACTCTAACTGATCATTTTTAATTAGCTTTTGTTGTAATTTTTTGTCTACTTATTTCCCTTCCTCGGGTTCTTGGAGTGTATGCCATTGGGCGATTGGTCGCCGTGGCGACGCCAGCATGTCGCTCCAGTGACGGAGTCCCGCCCCTGTGGCATTGCATCCAAGTACTACTTTCCCGATAGGTTCGCTGCTGCCCATGCGATCATAGTCCACTACAGTCACCACCAACGTCACTTTCTGTAAGGGGAAAAGGAGCAGCGAAAACACAATCTTGTATGAAATATGAGTAATAAGTAACAAAAATCGTGATAAGAATTGTTTCTAAAATGGTCAAAAGGTATATGTAGATGGAGGCCTTGCCAAAGAATGTTTGTACAGTGGCAGGGATTTGAATCTGGTGCCTAAAGATCCATAATCTGGAGACATAACTGCTAGACCATGGCATCTCTACACAGACAAGAGTGTTGCTAGAGGTGGGGTAGGGGGAAAATGTACATATCTGTCGGCAATAATGGAAATCATGGCATCATTTTCAGTACGTCAACAATCCATTAAAAGCATCTTAATCTTATTTCACATATGTAATTGAATGTTGGCGAAATTGTACTTTATAATTTGAGAAAGGATGCCACGAGACCGTGACCCTATTATCTTTTTGGCATACACAAAAATCTGATTTACCTTGCAAGTAAATTTGGTCCAACACTCCCTCCCCCCCCCCCCTAAATTTCAAAGTGGTCTAGCAATGCCCCAGGGGGGTGTTTCATAAAGCTGTGTGTAAAGTTACGCATGACTTTAAGAATGAATTGAATATGAAGAGCTAAATGGGATTCTCAAATCTTTTTAATTGCATATAAGCTAAAGTTGAAATATGCAGATATAGATTAACCTCAACATTACTAACAAAACAGTTTAATGCAAAGTGTATTTTGGGCTACAATTTAATTGAGATCATAAAAAATACAGTCACACTGTGTTAAAATGTAAGGAAAAACTTTGGGCATCCCATTCGGATCCTCATATTCAAGTCATTTGTAAAGTCATTCGTAACTTTACGCACAACTTTACGAAACGCCCCCCCCCCCCCCTGTACACAGACCGATAGCAAAGGGATGGTGTACTTGCCTGAATCTGTTCGAATGGCACCTCAAAGCCAAAGGATTCGTTGTAGTAAGGATTCAGTGTCCTCTTCTTAATGGTGGTCTTCTTTTTCTTCATCCTCTTGTTGTTCATGTAGAGGGAAATCTTCACATATGGATCTGGTGATGGAGAAAAAAAAAATATTTGAGAAGTGGAAGAGGAGTAATGTTATTGTTTTGATCATCCTTGTATTCATTTCCATCATTATCCTCCTCCTCATCATCAATACCATTGACACCATCATCATTATCATCGTCAATATCATCATCATCCTCATCATGATCATCATATCATGATTATCATCATCATCATCATCATCTTCACCACCACCACTATTATCATCATCATTATCATCATCATTAACACTATCGTCATCATCTTCATCATCATCATCATCACCACCACTATCACTATTATCATTATCATCACCAGCTGATCATCACATCATAATAATCATCACTATCAAGATCATCATCACATCATCGTCATCACCACACATCATCGTCATCATCACCACCACAACTATTATCATCATCATCATCATCACGATCCTCATCATCACCACCACTTTTATCATTATCACCACATCACCACCACCGCCACCACCACCACCGCCGCCGCCACCACCACCGCCGCCGCCGCCGCCGCCACCACCACCACCACCACCACCACCACCACCACCACCACCACCACCACCACCACCACCACCACCACCACCACCACCACCACCACCACCACCACCACCACCACCACCACCACCACCACCACCATCATCATCATCTTCATCCTCTGTGATATTACATGTGCATTGCATAACCGTATCCCCATCTTGTGGAGTATTAATCTCGCCACCAACGAAACCCAGACATTATTCCAAGGCATTAGAAGCCTGCTGATAGCAGAGTGGAATGTAAAGCGATAGTACTCTTTCATACGAGCAGCATTAATGCGGTTAACTTGATTAATGGCGATCGATAAGAGGGTATACAATAAATTGTTCTCCGACTGGAATCGCCCGTCTACCGAGATGTTTAGACAGATTGAAGGAATCGATATCATCTTGGTAAATTATGTACCGAGTCTCAATCACTGTCTGTCTGTATTTCCCTTTGCTTGCTCTCTCTCTCTCTCATTCTTTCTTTCCTTCTCTCATTCTCTGTACATGGGTCTGTCTACCTCACAGCCCCTGCCCCATGTATCTGTCTCACTGTGTCTCACTTTCCTCCCTTCATAAATCTCTCTCTATCTCTCACTAACAATCAAAAACTCTTTCTCTAGCTCCCTCTATTACATTTACAGTACTCCTCTCTCCCTCTCTCTCTCTCTCTCTCACCCTCTCTCTCTCTCTCTCTCTCTCTCGCCCTCTCTCTCTCTCACCCTCTCTATCTCTCTCCCTCTCTCTCTCTCTCCTATCTCTCTGCCTGTCTGTCTGTCTGTCTGTCTTTCTTTCTTTCTCTCTCTCTGAACCAACCTGAAAATCCACCGACGTCCATTTTTTTGAGGTTCTTGGCCTCTAAGATGACCACAGTCAGCTTGCCTCTCTCTCTCTCTCTCTTTCCTTTCCCCCTCTTCTCTCTCTCTCTCAGTCTCTCTCTCTCTCTCTCTGTCAACTAACCTGATAGTCCACCGACGTCCATTTTCTTGAGGTTCTTGGCCTCTAAGATGACCACAGTCAGCTTGCCTCTCTCTCTCTCTCTCTCTCTCTCTCCCCTTCTCTCTCTCTCTCTCTCTCTGTCTTTCTCTCTCTCTTTCTGTCAACCAACCTGATAATCCACCGACGTCCATTTTTTTGAGGTTCTTGGCCTCTAAGATGACCGCAGTCAGCTTGCCTCTCTCCCTCTCTCTCCCCTTCTCTCTCTCTCTCTCTCTCTCTGTCTTTCTCTCTCTCTTTCTGTCAACCAACCCGATAATCCACCGACGTCCATTTTTTTTGAGGTTCTTGGCCTCTAAGATGACCACAGTCAGCTTGCCTCTCTCCCTCTCTCTCTCCCCTTCTCTCTCTCTCTCTCTCTCTCTCTCTCAGTCTTTCTCTCTCTCTCTCTCTCTGTCAACCAACCTGATAGTCCACCGACGTCCATTTTCTTGAGGTTCTTGGCCTCTAAGATGACCACGGTCAGCTTGCCTGCAGTGGGGACGTAACGCAAGGAGAAACAAATGTCTCCCAGCTCTGACTTGCCCTGTAAACAAAAGGAACAAATACCGTCAGCTATGAAATCAAAAATATACAAATAAACATGCCGAATGCTATACAAATGTATTCAGTCCAGATAGATATAATAATTTACCAAATATATCAATTAGTAGATAGGCAGTTTCCCGGCAAACTTTGTATCATCACGTGTTAGTCAAAACATATTTTTTCACATTATTGGTACATTAATAAGAGCTTCCATTTCATTTTTTGAGAGGGGGGCATTTCCAAAACTGGTCGATACCTTTAAAATCGTTATTCTGAATCTACTAAGTAATACAACATGTAAGCTAGATGCATAATCCACTCACCAACTGGGCATTGCAATTCATAGCAAAAATAAATGATCAATTTCAATACAGAGTGTTACATGTAGTCTGCTTCCAAGACAAGGACATCAGTGTCGCCTTCAAAAGCCCTAACACACTAAGAAGTAGGTTGGTTCACCCAAAAGACAAAATCCCAAGAGAGGAAAAGACAGGTATTGTGTACAAGATCACGTGCACAGACTGTGACAATTCATATGTTGGGGAAACTGGCGGAACTCTTAATGAGCGTCTAAAAGAACACAAAAGAGCCCTCAGATTGAGCAACCCATCCCATTCAGCATTAGCTGAACACGCCCTCAAAACAGGACATAACATAGGATGGGAGGATGTCCTCATAATAGACTTTGAAAGTAACTTCTGGGCAAGAAAGGTGAAAGAGTCCATATGGATTAAGAGAATTAAGCCATCACTAAACAGGGACTCTGGGTACCTATTGTCACCGATCTTTGGTCCAGTGATCACAGGACACCAGGCAGTGCAGCGAAGCAAACGTGTGACTCAGATTGATCACTTAGCTTGAGAAAGTCCACAGGAGTGGACGAAAGCTTGCATAACAAATTTAAGGTTGGTAGAAGCTTAAATCTACATGTTATCATTATCCCCAACTGATGAAAGTTTTCTGTATCATGTAGTCTGCTGTTTATTATAATTTTTTCCATCTGTTGAGTACACCCACTTTTTATAAAGCAAAAAGTGCAATGTTAACAGTTTAGAAAATCATTCTAAAAGATGATTTCATGCTTCTCTTTGTATTCTTTGATGTTTTCGGGTTGATTTTTTTCCCTTCTTAAAAAAAATCAAAGTCTAGAACAAACAAACTAGGTAAAACTATACATTTTGAAGATGAAATTAAAAGCCAAAAAATCAAAGTCTAGAACAAACAAACTAGGTAAAACTATACATTTTGAAGATGAAATTAAAAGCCAAAAGATATTTTCATGGATGGCAGGGACACACAGATTTTCAAGAGTTGTTGTTTTTGTGATATTTATAATATGCTTTTTAAAAAAACGCTCCTTACTTTTGCATGTTGTTACCTAACATATATCCCGTTTGTTTGTGCAAAAGTAAAACTCTCATAAAAATAGCAGCTTATACAGTGTGTCCCAGAAAAAACGAAACCGAAAATTATTGATGTTTTATCATAACTTCGATGTTTTATCATAACTTAATCACAATGATAATTAATAAATAACACATATTTGTAAAGCTAAGATCCTCCTCTTTCATTTGATGCATCTCATATGGTACATATTTCAGGCATGAGTGATTAAAATCAATTTGAAGAAAGGTTATTAATCCTCACTCATTTTTCCTGATTGAGGTGTCATATGAAAGGGCAGAAAATGAACTTTCTAGAAATGAGGTTTTCTCTTTGAAATTCAGATACCATCCGCCAAATGACTCTTCGGTACCCTCTCTTCAAATTGATTTTAATCACGCATGTGTGAAATATGTATCATATGAGGTGCATCAAATGAAAGAGAAGGATCTAACCTTTACAAATCTGTGTCATTAATTAATAATAATCAAGATTAAATTATGATAAAACATCGATAATTTTGGTTTTTGTTTTTTCTGGGACGCACTGTATAGGATATAATTTACAAATGAATCTTAATAGTGCATACCTCTCCTCCTGGGACCTCAGCGCTCTGGAGGTCGCGCCACTCTTCAACGACACTGCCCAGGTCAACCTGGCTTAGTTTGACCTTGACCTCCCCTATGATGTCATGGCGGGAGAATCGGTCAAAATCGTAAATGGCAAACACCAGCGTCTTACTCGACACTTCACTGTATGGCACCTGTATAGGACGAGAATTTAAAGACACATATTAATTAGTGGGTTTTCATGGGAAGTTTGACACCATTTGGGTGTTTACCCAATAACAGGTATTGTCAACAGTCAAGATGAGCTTTCAGTTTAATGGCCATTTTGTATTGTGATCAATGTGATTTGATTATTTTGGCAGCATGAAACTTTTACAAATTTCAACGACTCATTAATTTCATGAATCGTCAGCTCCTGAAGTTCACGTACCTTGAATGTGAAGGTCTCATTGAAGACTGGGTTGAGGGTCTTTCTGTGGACTTTGGTTTCGTACTTCTTCTTCTTGTCTGGCATGAGGTAAACCTTGACGTAGGGATCCGATGTCCCTGAGAAGTCCATCCCTGGTAGCTCCGATGCTTGCATGACACCCACATTGAGCTAACAAGGAAAGAATAGTATAGCATGAGTTATAATTTATCTAGAATATTGCTGTATTAGGTAAACTTGGACATACTGTATGGCCATGATGTTCCTGGTAGCTCCCGATGCTTGCATGACACCAACATTGAGCTAGTGAGGAAAGAATATTATACACATAATGTGAAACAAAGTCAATAATATTCTGGCATGAGGTAATCCTTTACATAGGGCTACGATGTCCCAGGTAGCTCCGATGCTTGCATGACACCAACATTGAGCTAGTAAGAAAAGAATATTATACACGTAATGTGAAAGATAGTCAATAATATTGTCTGGCATGAGGTAAACCTTGACATAGGCTATGGTGTCCCTGGTAGCTCCAATGCTTGCATGACACCAACATTGAGCTAATGAGGAAAGAATATTATAGCACGAGTTATAATTTATTTAGAAAATTACTGTATTAGGTTTTATATATCTAAATCTTTGGATGTATTATTATACATTATATTATTTACTTTATGCATTATATATATATGTCACGTCATTACAAAAAGGAAATAAAGAGTGTTTCTGCTGGATATAATTTTCCTTCTGTTTTGCTATAAACACTGCATAGTCAATTGGTTTATACGGTATATATGTTTACAAACAGAATATTGATTTGGTACGTTACATTGTAGATTGATTTATATGATATATATGTTTCCAAACAGAATATTGATATGTTACGTTGCATTGTAAATTGATTTATATGTTTATAAACAGAATATTGATGTACATCAATGAAGTTTAATAAATACAATACAATACAATATACATAATGTGAATGATGTGGAAAGAATGAGAAAAGAATAGTATAAACATAATGTTTAATAATGATAATGATAATAATCCCTACATCATGTATAGTACTTAGTTATCATGTGATGATATCACCTCTCAATGTGCTTCCAAATTATGATTATATTTCAAATTTGATTCTTAATTTTCTGTGATTTTCATCGAAACAGTATATTTCTAGAAGTTATCTTTATACATGTAATAAAGAGAAGGTTAAGTTCTGGGGAGAGGTGAAAAATAATTTGTGAGCGTTTTCATCATTATTATGCAAATGTGGGAGAACATCAGAAAGAATGATCCCTGAAAAGCATGGCTCTTCAAATGCCTTCATATTCTAAATACCAGTATGACAAGTAACAGCTTTAAAAATGAGGTCGGATTTGTATGCCACATGTTTGTGATATGATAACGCTCACAAATTTTGTTTCACCTCTTCCCAGAACTCAACCTTCTCTTTATTAAAGGGATCCAGTAACTTAGTCTTAGAGCCATTAAAAAAATCCTTAATTTAGCACATGCTGCAATAATTATAAACCTTTAGGTCAGTCAGGAAACCCATGACTTTTACAAGCCGATCGCCTGTATGATTATCAAGATATTTATGATTGAAAATCAAAATCAAATTTTGCGTTTGCCAAACGGTTTTCATAACAAATGGGGAAAACGAGTATGGTAAAACCGGTCACTCAAAGGTTTTAACTTTTTTGAGGCACTTCTTGATCCTTTTGAAGCGCAATTTTTTGTTAGGGCTTCAACACCATATCACAGACACTGATAACAAGGAGGGCCGTGCATCTCAGATTTAACATATTTGTTAAACGATGCTTTTAAAACCAACACAACTCACCTTTCCTTCTTGGAAGTCATAATCCAGCGAGAACTGTAGCTTTCCGAGCTTGATCTCAGACTTAACGGAGTCGGTATCGCCTTCTTCGTCCCCTCCGTTATCTAGATCATCGACGTCAGGCTGGATCTGAGGGTGTCGAAAGAAAAAAAGAGAGCCAAGTTAAACGCTGATCCAATATTAATTCTTGCCACGATTCGTTGCAGACTTTGCATTCATTGTCACAGAAAAATGTGTCTGATCTTATGTTGTAGTTTGGGGGTTTTTTTTGTTCAAAGATCATCGACATCAGGCTGGATCTGAAGGTGTCAAAAGAAATAAAGAGAGCCAAGTTAAACGCTGATCCAATATTAATTCTTGCCACGATTCGTTGCAGACTTTGCATTCATTGTCACAGAAAAATGTGTCTGATCTTATGTTGTAGTTTGTGGGGTTTTTTTGTTCAAAGATCATCGACATCAGGCTGGATCTGAAGGTGTCAAAAGAAATAAAGAGAGCCAAGTTAAACGCTGATCCAATATTAATTCTTGCCACGATTCGTTGCAGACTTTGCATTCATTGTCACAGAGAAATGTGTCTGAGCTTATGTTGTAGTTTGTGGGGTTTTTTTGTTCAAAGATCATCGACATTAGGCTGGATCTGAGGGTGTCAAAAGAAACAAAGAGAGCCAGGTTAAATGCTGATCCAATATTAACTCTTGCCACGATTTGTTGCAGACTTTGCATTCATTGTCACAGAGAAATGTGTCTGAGCTTATATTGTAGTTTGTGGGTTTTTTTTTGTTTAAAGATCATCGACATCAGGCTGGATCTGAAGGCGTCAAAAGAAACGAAGAGAGTCAAGTTAAACGCTAATCCAATATTAACTCTTGTCATGATTTGTTTCTAACTTTGCATAATTGTCACAGAAAAATGTGTCTGAGCTTATATTGTAGTTTGTGGGGTTTTTTTTGTTTAAAGATCATCGACATCAGGCTGGATCTGAAGGTGTCAAAAGAAACGAAGAGAGTCAAGTTAAACGCTAATCCAATATTAACTCTTGTCATGATTTGTTTCTAACTTTGCATAATTGTCACAGAAAAATGTGTCTGAGCTTATATTGTAGTTTGTGGTTGTTTTTTGTTTTCCACTGACCGATCTACCAATTTGAGATTCACATAGACTTAGTGATATCATATTTCAAACATTCATAACTTGCTTATTCGTCCGATAATTCAAACTGTTGCGATTCTGTTTCTCCTATTTTTCTGCTTTCATACAAATCAACTTATTACTAGGGTTGGATTGCCCTTTAAATTTCTACACCAGTTGTAACAAGACCGACGCCAGACGGACGCCGGACCACCACCAGACTGACACCAGACCGACACCAGACAGACACCAGACGAACACCAGACCGATGCCAGACAGACACCAGACGAACACCAGACCGACGCCAGACAGACACCAGACCGACACCAGACCACCACCAGACCGACACCATACCGATACCAGACCGATGCCAGACCGACGCCAGACAGACAACAAACCAAACAAATACTAACACGATCTCAAAACCCCAAGAATCGTTTGGTTTGGAGTCGATTTGGAGATGTGGATGAGGTATTAGGGGTATGAACTATTAGAGTTTTGACCAGGGTCGATGTTAAGAATTGAGTAACTGTTAGAAAATTACTGCCTACCAAGTGATCCTGGAACAAGTTTCATAAATTAATGAAGAAAAAAGTTTCATACAATCCAGTTAAAGATAAAGTTGAGTTGTGGTCATGCAATTGCATTATGAAAGAAACATTGTGGAATCGATCAGAAAAGGTTGATTATCTAGCATATATTGGTGTGTACTGCAAGGTTGTGGAATCATCCAAATTATAAGAAATTTGACCCAGTCTTGGTAAAGTTACAAGCACTGTACACAGAAAGATGTATATGGGACTATGTGAAACATGCGTGATATCTATCAGGTCCAAATAGATATAATAATTTACCAAATATATCAATTAGTAGGCGGTTTCTCAGCAAAATTTATATCATCACGTATTAGTCAAAACATATTCTTTCAAATGATTGGTAATAAGAGCTTCCATTTCATTTTTTGAGAGGGGGGGTGGGGCGTTTCCAAAACTGATCTTTACCTTTAAAGATGTAATGGTGCTCTTCTGAACTATGTTCATGTCAGAATATTGACAGTTTAGGCTTGGCAGATGTCAAAGCAGAAACTTTCATGTTTAGAAAATATTTGCAAAATCAAGTATAATATTTCACAAGCTATTCATTGATTGTTCAATATAAATAAAAAGGTATAACATTACAGCATTCACAAAGTCATTTGCATCACCTCCCTCCAAACTCGTATTCATCTTTTCAAAAAAGATTTTAGACAGATTTTAGACAGATTTTAGACAGTTTCCAGTAGGACGTGTTCATCGGTGTTCATCGGTTCATCATGCAATGTTTTGTCTGAATTTGTATCATAATTTTTTTAAATGTACTTGCACAACTGTACATGTGCCATTAAGTGGCACACATTGAACAAATGTGATGTTCTTTTTTTAAGGCATTATAAAATGAAAACATTGTTAAATGATTTCCATTTATTTGAGGGGGGAAAAAAAAAACATCACTTGGAATAAAAAAAATGACTACATACACGTACATGTAAATAGTCTAAGCACAATAAAACAATGCCCTAATTCACCTTTAAATAAGTCTGTATATTATGCAAACACACAAATTGACACACCCTCATCATATTTTCCATATGGCACCACACACCCAATCATATGTAGGCACCTCAATGTAATATGAGAACATCTATCTCGTATCTTTAGCCTTAAGGCCAACAATGATGTTGGCAAATTAACCTCCATTGTATGAAACCACCTTGGCTGGTCTACATACATGTATAATGTGTTTTAAATAAATGTATGGTTCTGACTCTCTTTTAGCTGAGCCATTGCCAATTTGATGGCAACATTAGATCCTCATGGGCAATAGAGCGTTTCGACACTGCAGGCATACAAGATTTCTGAAAAGGTCATCTTCCTTAAAGGTCATATTTGAGGAGCGGTATGACGAGAAGCTGAAAAGGGAGATATTTATCTCATTCTCTAAAATGATGTTACATCAGGATACTGATAAATGAATATAAAATGAATTTCAACAAGATGAATTTGTCACAGGAAGATGAATGGAGTGGTCTGCCTTTTAATCTGAATAACTGGAAGACTATAAACATCTCTGAAGGAGAATAGATTCATATATTATATGGGACAAATTGATGTTGCAGTATACATTGATGGTGATAAGGATGATCATCACGATGATCATAAGGAAATAGTTGAGATGACATTTATGACGAAGAAATGATGAGGATAATGATACATGAAGTAATTATTCTGATTTAAAAATCATGTTAATATAGTAGATAATAATGATGAAAAGGATGATTATGTGATAATAATATTAACAACGAACAGACCCGTTTAATGTTTTTCAATATATGTTTCTCTCCATGGTAAACATAATCTTACTCTCTTTAACTCTCCAACCCTTCCTACCAGTAAGCTTTTTACATGTCTGATGTTATCCTCTTATATTCTACCCCCCCCCCCTCTCTCTCTGTTTGTTTAATCCCTTCTATATTTTTGAGATTGTCTTTCTTTCTGTTTATTGTTCTATCTTTTGCAATCACCTTCTGTATCTCCACTTTTTCCAATTATTATTTCTCCCTCCCCTTTCCCATCTCCATCTCTCTCATCTCCCATTCTCTCCTCTCCTCCACATTTCTCTCAAAGATTGATCATTAATGAATAATATATATGTGATATTCATCATCTAACAAGAAGAATGTGTCAATGCATGCCATCCATATTTCTTAGGGACCTGACTGGGATATTATAATTGACAGATTGAATGAGATTACGCACATCTTCTACTTGAGTACCGGTATTGTTTGAGAATATAATTATAGCTCCCATAATACTGAAAATGAAATCTATATCTGTCCCTCAAAATGTGCCTGTCATGGCAGTTTGGTACAGTAAATTGTGTTCTCCCTCTCTCTCTCTCTCTCTCTCTCTCCTCCTCTCTCTCTCTCTCTCTCTCTCTCTCTCTCTCTCTCTCTCTCTCTCTCTCCATAGACGTAATACACATACACACAATGCCCCAACATGTACCATTTCTCTGCTTATCTCTTCCTTTCTCTCTCCTTTCTTTCTTTCTCCCTCCCTCCTTCCATCCCTCCCTCCCACCCTCCTTCCCCCATTCCTCTCTCTCCTCACTCTCTCTAATATCATTCTCCCCTTTGCTTTTAATATAAACCTTAAATCATAACCCATTCTCTTCTATTTTCCCCAAGTCTTCCCTGAGTGCCCTCCCTCTACAATACACTCCACATGAGCTCCGTTCTAAACCATATGTTCATTCTCATTGCACCGCCATTCACATTACACGTAGAGGCTTCCAACCTGTATTATGTATGCACAGCTAGGTACCACTTCAAGTATTCAATAATATTTGTCAATAAACATTCCCACCAACACGCCCTACTTCACAATACTGTCTCCATCATCAAAATGAGGTCATCAATTAAAACAGGTTTAATATGCACAATAATTCCAACCCATGCATGCAGAAGTAATATTACAATTCTGACTATGAGGTACTACTGGTACATATAAGTGGGTGTATATCATAGATTTCTGCGGACTTACATGTATTATGAAGAAAGTCAGTCAGACTATGTCTGTACATAGATTGGGCTTATAAGTACACCAAGTTTGAGGCCGAAAACAAGACAGAAAAGGAGAAAATACTGGTATGTCCACATACATGTATAAATGCTATCAACAATTATTTTGAGAGGGAAACTGGTGAAATACAAAGTCCCTTCCCCCCCCCCCCCCCCCTCATTCTCTCTTTTTTCTTTCTCTTTCTCTCTCCCTCTTTCTCACTCACTCTCTCTCCACACACACACACATGCACAAACACACTTATATACATGTACTGTATATGTATTTTTCCTGGAGATTTTAAGTGTTCCTTGTACATGGATTTAAGCTTATAATAATCAGAGTACAAGAACAAGAACTGACCTCAAAGTTCAAAGTGTATTCTGTTTACAAATCCTCA